GGAGTGATTTCAAAATTTGAACCCAAGACCCCCAGAAAATTAAGTGCTTTATAAATGTTAATTATTATTATTAAGTTATGAGTCTGGCCGTTTTCATATTCAGAAACATACAACACGGGTGTTGATTTCAAAATTTGAACCCCCTTTCTAATCAACCATAAGTTAAGTGCCTGGCACAAATATAAATTATTATTATTAAAGGCTCTTTCCAATCCAGCAAAAAGATAGTAAGCACTTTACAAATGTTGGTTAATATTATCATTATGTGATAAGCCTGGCCAACTGTTTTCACAGCCAGAAGCACGCAGCAGAGATGATGATTTACACCCAGAAGGCAAAAAAGCAACAAGGATGTCTACTGGATCAACTCCCCTCTGCTCCAGAGTTCCAACTGTATTGTGAAGGATGGTTCACACTGCGGGAAAAGGAGGACCAGCCCGGGCAGGATGCCCTCTTCCCTCCACAGCACCTCTAGCACACACACGTCTATATGCATAAACACATGCACGCGCATTCGCACACTTTCCCCGTGCATCTTTTCTCTACTCTTCCTCCAGAACGCTTTTGCAACGAAAATTCCAAAACTGCCACTGCCTTCCTTCCCTACTGTGGCTTAACCTCAGTCCCCTCCCCTTCACACCAGCGCTGGCCCTCCGCCCTGGTCCGCCCAGCCCTGGCTCCGGGGGGAGAGGAGGGGGTCACCCCTCCGGGTGTGGCCGTGGCTGGAAAGAGGCGGGAAGCGGGGCGAGGGGAACTTACTTTCAAGTAGACGGGGAAGTCCACCTCTTGATGCAGGGGGTTCAGGATCGTCTGCTCCACCTGGATAAGCTGCGATGTGGTCTCGACTACGCGGGCCAGGACGGTGCGCACGGCCACGCGGGCCAGCTCGCACTGGCCGTGGCCCCGGGGCTCGGAGGCGGCGCCCCCCTCATCTCCCGTCTTCGCCTCGGCTGGGCCCTCGGCCTTCTCTCCGTCCTCTCCCGGGCCTGGCTGCCCGGGGGCTGCGGACACGTGCTGGGGGGAGGGCTGGCCTTCGTTTCTGTCCCTCTGCTGCAGCAAGACCCGCAGGGTCTGCAGGGCCATTATCTGGTGGCCGATGGAGGCCTGGAGGTGCGTCGCGCTGCTCATGGCTGCCCGCGTTTTTTCTGCCCTGTTCCTCGCGCAGGTGAGGAAGGAAAAGCGGAGGGGGTTACTGAGGTCAGCAGGGTCACATTATCCGCCTGTTTCCTTCCTGCCAGCTTTGCCCTGCACCCTCCCACCGTGCTCCTTTTCTCCCGGCGTGGGGCCGTGGCCCCGCCCCCTCGACCTGTAATCAATCACTTGTTGGTTTCAGCTCCTCTGGGAAGCCCTTTAAAAGCCCGCGCTTTTAGAAGGCGTTTCTTTCCTCCCCTTTCTTTTAAGAAATAGGTAGATGTGCCCTTTATGTTGTTTGTGCACGTCTTTGGAGATGCGAAATGAAAAGAAAAGCTTCTCCTTTGGGAGAATTCATAAGACCCTGTGGAGTGTAAAATAGAGGGCCGAAGGGAACTCAGGGAAATCTAAACCAAAAAGCTATCATTTCTCTCCTAGCTACAGAAGCTTTTTTTTTTTTTTTAAGGGAATTCTTTGCAGCAATGCAACATTGCTACAACTTGTTTGCTTGTTTCCAATAGATGGGCCTTCACTGGTTGTTCTCTTTGGGGTTTCATGCTTCATTTGCAACTGGCACAGCAGTGGAAATCAGGAGTTTAAGGAAAGACGTAGGTTTGAGGAGGAAAGAAATTGGAAATCTGAAAGGGGAAAGAGCCGCACCTGAACTAACTCTAGAAGAAGCATTCCTGGCTCCAAAGAGTAAACCGGAGGATCCTATATGTTTTTGTAAGAAGTTCCCAAAGGACCTAAGACAGCAAGATTTGATGCTAAATCCATTTCTATGCTGCGAACCCATGGGCAGCTGTACAAATATTTGCTGTTTTTAATTAAGTCTAACATTGCTACTTCCTTGATTTAAGTTAGGTCAAAGGATCGGTAATTTTATGCTTTGGTAGATGAAGGAAACAGTGGTGTGTATTGGTGCTTAAGAAAGATGATATAAAGTAAGAAACACTTTTAAGGGAATAGACGTGGAGCCCCAACTTGAGGCAAATCTTTTCCTTTCTTCCTGGTTCCCTGTTTTCCCTTTTTTCCCCCTAACACCTTAAGTGTTCAATTTAGAAAAGAGCCTTAATGGTCTTTGCTTGGAATAATTTTATCTAAACTTGCAGCTTGCTCCCAAATTAAATTTTAAGGCATGTTTTTCATGTTCTTTGAAAAGACCGAGACCGTTTCTTTGATCAGGGTTGTCGGCTCACATTACCATTTTAATCACATCACTGCAAAAGTCCCTTCTTGTTCAGCAGAATTAGGCTGGACAGATTCCGATTTGCTGACTGTGATTACAGGGCAGTTATCTTTCAGGGGATCTGTATTTGCAAAGCCACAATTTTGTCTATGGCACATCCCAAGGACCAGATTGTGCATGTAGCAGTTTTCAGAGGAGTAGCACAAAATGTTTTAAAGTAGCTAATTAGTCCCTGCAATAAGAACTGTGCATAGTTTACAATCCTGTGCAGGCACAGCAAAGCTGGAGTTAAAAAAAAATGGGGGACAAAAATAAAAAGATGGGATGAGTAGATTTAAGGCTTCATGGAAGGTAAAACTTTCCTTCAAAAAGAAAAAATAGAGCTGGCCAAACGTGGAATGGGCTGCCTCGAGAGGTTTTTTAGCAGAGGTCTCCTGACTCCTTGTAGATGTTCAGGGTTAGGTGTTAGTTGGACTAGGTGATCCTTGGGGTAGTTTCCAGCCCTCAGCTTATTTAAGTGGGTGAGGAGAAACTGAAAAAGCCAGAGAACAGGATCTCATGTTTCCAGTAGGAAAGACGAGTTGCTTTCAGAAAAGAATAGTGATCTCAAATGGGATCTGAAGACACTTGTGAGCAGAAAAAGCCCAGATTAATGAGTGTAATTAGTCTAGAGAAACTATCATTTAATATAGGGGAGGCAGCTGAGGGAAAGCAAGTCTGCCTGATAAGTCAATTAGTCTCTATGAGCCTCAGTTTTCTCGTCTGGTGTGGGGAGAAGGGTGATAATTATTCTGCTGTCTCTGTGGCCAGGTTCTTATGAGGACAGTCGTTTGTTAAGTGCTGTACCAATGCGAGTTATCATGGGGCTGGGCTGTTGACCTCCACAAAGAATTAAACATGTTTCCAGCTCACTGAACTAACATGCCAAGGTCAGAAGTTCACCAGAAGTCAGTACAGAGGGGAAGATGAGTATATGTCCTAAGAAAAGATGAGTGTTAATGAGCCACATTAGGAAAGCTTGCAGACTGCTGCTTCTTAGAATTACCTTTCTCTGCACTCCCGGATCACCCCCAGGTAGAGCAAAAATGGCTACAGATTCCTCTCTGGGGGCTATCCCACTAACTTCTGGGAGCTGTTTCCCTGGCATTTTTCTTTAACTTAGCAGGAAAGAGGAAAGGGATTGTGAGATGGTTAGAGGAAGGAGGAAAGGAACACCTGAAAGAATGAAAGCCCCCAAAAAGTGAGAAACTATTCCTAGTCATTAGGGAAGTGAATACAGAGACAAATCCCTAGCTCTCCCAGGTATGGCAAAAGGTCTTGCCCCTTGTAATCCAAAGTGACAGTGTATTAACAGAGGGTGGTGGGTCTAATATAAAAAAGTTTTTAAAGAAATCTTCTATATTATAGGTGTGGTATAGCAGGGAATTCTTGTTGAGTTGGGAGGGGAGGGGTTACAGTGGTGTAAGGGTAGCACCTACTTAAGACTTTCAAGGATCAAATGAACTAGGTTGCAGAGTAGATAGAGCACTGGCATAATTGCGAATCAGACACATACTAGCTGTATGATCCTGGGCAAGTCACTTAACTTTTCTGCCTCATTTTCCTCATCTGTAAAATGAGGGTAATAAAGCACCTCCCTCCCAGGGTTGTGGTGAGAAACAAATGAGATCATTGTGAAGTGCTTAGCACAGTGTCTGGCATATATTATGTGCTATATAACTGTTAGTTACTATTCATCATTATTGTCTAAAGTGCTTTGCAAACCTTGAAATACTATAGAAATGTTAGCTATTAAGTGACTTTTGAGAGTTCTTTGGACAATAAAGAGATCAAATCAGTCAATACTTCAAGAAATCAATTCAGGCTGTTCACTGGAAGGTCAAATACTAAAGCTGAAACTTAAATACTTTGGCTACATAACAAGAAGATAGGCATGGGAAAAGACCCTGATGTTGGAAAAGATTGAAGGCAAAAAGAAAAGGGGATGGCAGAGGATTCAATGGATAAATAGTGTCATGGAAGCAATGAACATGAGCTTGGACAGACTTCAAGAGATAGTGGAGGATAGGAAGAGTTGCATGCTGTGGTCCAAGGGGTCATGAAGAGTTAGACAACAACAGTATAAAATATGTATGAAATAAATAAATACAAGGTCATTTGCACAGGGAGAAGAGCAGCAAAAGGAAAGACTTCATGTGGAAGGTGATGTCTGAGCTAAGGTTTGAAGGAAATGAGATTTTAAGAGGTGATAGGGAAGAGAGAATCATTCCAGGCATGGAGGACAGCCTATACAAAGGAAAGTGGAGAGTCTGTTTGAGAAGTAGGAAGAAGGCCAGTCTTGACTGTATTGTAGAATGTGGGAAGGGGGAAATAAAGTATCTATCCATCTAGATATAGATGTTCATATATATATATATATACATATATATATATACACACATATATATTTATCCTTTCTACATTCTATAATAAATATATATGTTATTACCATATAAAATATTAATATTACATATACATATGTGTGTGGCTAATTATAATATATGCATAATCATATATATTAAGATTGAAAAGGTAAATTGGGGACTGCTTGTGAAGAACTTTAAATGCCAAAGCAGTCCTTTATCCTAGGCCCAATAGGGAGCCATTGAAGTTTGTCAAGTAGGAGAGTGACATGGTCAGACAGCTTTAGAAAAAATCACTTTGACAACTGTGTAGAAGATGCACTGGAGGGTGGGAAGAGAAATCTAAGGTGAGGAAATCAATGAGAAAATTATTGCAAATGGTCCAGGTAAGAGGTGATGAGGACCTGAGCTAAATGAGTAGAGAAATGGAAATAGACATGTGAAATGTTTGGATGCCAACAACATAATAACTTAGCAGCTGATTAGCTATATAAAGTGAAAGAGAGTAAGAAATTCAAAATATTGCAAAGATTGCAAAGTTGGTTACCTGGAAAGGTGGCAGTGCATTCAAGTGGATTTGGTGTTGAAGAAGGAGTAGCAGACAGAATAATAGTTCAATTTGGACATGTGGAGTTTGAGATGAGCCATCCAATGGTCAATTGGTGAAATAAAACTGGAACTTGAGAGTCATCAATAAACATTTAAGTGCCTATTATGTTCCAGTCACTATGCTAAGCACTAAGGGTGAAAAAAAAAGGGCAAAAATAAGATCTGTACTCAAAGGGCTTACATTCTAATGGGGAGGCAACATGCAAAGAGCTATGTACCAACAAGGTATATAGATATAGATATTTGTCTATCTCCATCTATATATGGATATCCATATAGGGCTACATATGTATGTGTCTAGGATAACCTGGAGATAACGATAATCACAAAAGGAAGGTAGGAGCATTAAGGTAGACCAAGGAAGGCTTCTTGTAGAAAGTGAGATTTCATCTGAGACTTGAAGGAAACCAGGAAAGCCAGGAGATGGAGAGGAGGAGGGAGAGCATTTTAGGTATGAGTAACAGCCAGTGAAATTTCATGAATTCAAGGGACTCAATGTGATGTGAAGAACGGTCAAGAAGGCCAGAATCACTGGATCACAGAGTATAGGTGAGGAGAGTAAAATGTAAGAGACATACTCATGTCTGCCCCATCCTCCACCTATCCATTCTCACAAACTGTTATCCTATAGCTCTCTTGCCTTTGGTGGCTAAAGTCCTTGAGAAGGCCACTTACAAGAGGTGCCTCTACTTCCTTTCTTCTTACTCTGATCTTAACTCTCTACCGTCCGGCTTCTTATCTCATCACTCAGCTGGCTTCTTATAGCATCACTCAACTCACTCCAGAATTACTAACAATCACTTACTTACCAAATCTGATGACCTGTTCTCAATCCCCATTCTTAACCTGTTGGCAGCCTATGATAATGTCAATCACCCTCTTTTCTTAATTCTCCCTTTCTTGTAGAGTTTCATGGCCATACTTTCTCCTGGTT